AGTGGTGGGAAACAAGGTCGCGTTCTTGCAACAACCAAAGGGCCACACAGACCTTGATGAAGAAGATGGTATCTACATTGGATATCATAGCGACGAAAACCTATTCAACCTAAGGCAACTGAAGGTCCACACTAAGACCTTAAACCATCTTGTCCGGGAGCTGCTTTATGCTGATGACGCCGCCCTTGTCGCCCACACAGAAGCAGCTCTGCAGCGTTTAACATCCTGCTTTGCAGACGCTGCTGAGCTCTTTGGGTTGGAAGTCAGCTTGAAGAAGACAGAAGTTTTCTATCAGCTGGCACCTCGGGAAGTCTTCCATCATCCCCATATCACCATTGACAAATCAGAGCTCAAATCACTTCAGCAGTTTAATTACCTAGGTAGCCTCATCTCCTTGGATGGTAAGATTGACGGGGAGATAGACAACAGGTTAGCAAAGGCATATAGTGCTTTTGGAAAACTCCATAAAAGAGTTTGGTGAAATAAACACTTGAAGAAAAGTACAAAGATCAGTGTTTACAGAGCCATTGTGCTGTCTACTCTCTTATATGGTTCCGAATCATGGGTCATCTACCACCACCACCTCCGTCTCCTAGAACGCTTCCATCAACGCTGCCTCCGTACAATCTTAAACATCCACTGGTCAGATTATGTGACCAATACATCTGTTCTAGAACAGGCAGCAGTTACGAGTATTGAGGCCATGTTACTGAGAACACAGTTGCGCTGGGCAGGACACGTCTCCAGGATGAAGGACCACCACTTCCCTAAGATCTTGCTTTATGGTGAACTCTCCACTGGCTGCTGTAAGAGAGGAGCCCAGAAGAGGAGAAACAAGGACTCCCTGAAACAACATCTCAGCCTTGGCCATATTGATCTTCATTGCTGGTCTACCCTGGCCTCCAGTTGGGAGGTCTGGAGACACACTATCTTTAACGCTGCTGCTTCCTTTGAGAATGCACACAGGATCACCATCGAAAAGACAATGCAGAAAGAACCATGCCTTGCAGAATATACCACCTAAGGAGTCTTTCTGCTGTGCCTTTTGCAACTGGACTTGTCTATCTCGCATTGGCCTCTTTAGCCACCAACGCGCCTGTAGCAAATGTGGGTAGAGCCCTTCCCAAAGCTTTGTTCGCAAAGCCCAGCCATGATTATTTTCAATGTTTAACTATCCTGTGCAGAGTGGATTGAAAATTCTGCCTTCATCCTCAGATTCTCCTATATGTTTTTGAAAGGTTTGTGCCCTGAGAAGTTAAAGTCCATTGAGCAAAGAAAACAACTGAACCCAGGGCTCCTACTTTCTTTTGCAGCACTCTAATGATCAAGCTAATGGAAGATGGGCAGGTGACAGCACTAACAGCTCCTCCTCTCCATCTGCTTCTCAAAGAACAGGATCGCTTCCTTTCATTTTGCATTCAAGCATGTAATTCCTGGACGAAGTTTCAGCCCTGTGAATCCCTGGCAGTGTTTGCCATCAGCTTTGAATATCTAAGTCCTAAATAGGCATGATTAAACTCACGGCATTTCCATGTGTCTCCAACTATTTAGCTTGCTAGCCTTCTAGGATTCCAGAAGAACTCTGATTTCTTGTAAGGAAAACCTAGGTAATAGCTTATAAATCAGGCATGGCAGTATCTAACTGTAGTCACAAATTGTCTTTCAAGAGAATAGTTCTGAAGCCTTAAGTATTTTTTTTCAATTCTTGACAGCACATCAGAACACCTCTGTGCAGTGTCTATCCTGCACGATACTCTTGCTACCCTAGTTCTGAACATATCTTACATCAAAACACATCCTCTGCCTGGTAGTCTGTGAAAGCTGATTTTGTTACTGTATACCAAGCAGTGCAGCTTTTAACATTAGACATTATCACTTAAGCTTTTGATCTTGTCTTTGGGCTCTTTTCTACTTAGAGATATTCATATTTTATGCTGCTATCGTAAATAAACACTAGCTTCTAAAAAGTATTAGACCAGCAGTAAGTGCATTTACGTTACTTTCATGGTATCAGGAGATCCTCCAAAGGAAATACAAAATGCCCATAAATAAACTAGATTAAAATAATCTCAAAAGTTTTTCAGTTTTTGATTGGGGGGCCCCATGATCTATCAAATATGATTAGTCTAAGTTCTACTGACTTTGAATATATTCGGTGGGGCATACCTCACCATTTTATTTTGTGCAAAGTACTTTGTGTGCTACACTGTGCTCCATTCACCATTGTAAGACATCAAAACAAGTGGAACAGTGGGATAACTCATGTTAAAATTACATGGGTGGCATTCAGCTGAGTAAATGCAGACTCTAACAATGTAGACACTTACAGCTGAACAAGACACCTGCTGGTCCTGTTAGAGTCAATGGATAGAAACCGGCATTTCTAGGATGCAACTTGGCTTATTCTAATGTAGACATCTAAAATAGGTTAGATGAATCATACACTAAAACTGCCTATTTCTGGTTCCCTTTATGCTCAGTGGAGAGAGTGACTAGCTCACATGCAGACATTCACATAGTAGACATCTAAAGTTAGGTGAGATGTACAACCCAAGATGTCTTTCCATAATCCTCAAAAGTGTCTGCTTTAGGAACAAAATGCCAAAGACTATCAAAAAACCTCAATAGGTAGAAGAAAGCAGTAGATGATACCTAAGTAAACTAAGGCTGGTATTAAAGGATCATGAAGACTAAACCACTATGTTTGGAACTGCCAATCCATGGATATAGTTGCAGCAGGCAAAGTGAGGAGAAAGGCTACAAAAGGTACAATGATGACTACAGGAAAGATACAAGGAGGCAGAGAACGTGGAAAGCTAGTATTCCTTCAGCCACACAATTTCTGCTTATTGTAATGGCTGAGGGGTACGTTGTTTATACCAACAACCCCACCTGTTTCTTTTTGCTTGATGCCACCATCCTACTACCAGTATGGATGGCGCTCATCCACAATAGTGGATGCCATCACCAGCAGAAGTGGCTCCTAGTATAAACCTTTGAATGTACTTGTTTACTGTGTGATTATATGTATGCCACCATTTGGAAACTTCTGCTTTGTGCTATTGAATGTGTGTATTTGTTTATCTCAGTAATATAAAAATTACAGAGTTTAAATTCTCAGGGGAATCATAAGGGTGTAATCATACCAGCTGCAACACTTCAGCCTCATCATATATCAGTATAGAGTTGTCTATCACACCCTCCCTGCAACAGTGAAATCTCTTCATTTACTTGGTTTCTGTGGTCTAACTTGCACCTAGTGGTTTGCCACAGCCCAATGTTTTGTGCTTTTAAATTAATGTTGGCAATCCAAATAATAACCAGATCTTTGATCCTACATTTTAAGGAAGTTAAACCTTCAACTCAAATCTTTCCCCTCAAGTGTCCTGCAGTTCTACAGTCCACCTTCTGAAGGTTTGGCTCACCATGTTCCCCATGGAATCTGTCAAGGAGTCAAACAGGTAGCTGTCTGAGAAGTCATCCTTCTCTCTGCATTTTATATCCATATTCTCTCAAAGTCAAGAGTAGCTACATGATCTCCTTACGGAACATGGTACCTTGCAAGGCAATATCCTAGTGTTTTAAGGCCCCCTTACACACTAATGCACAATTACTTAGTCTGTAGTGTTTTTATATTTAAATAAATCAGTTAGGAACATGGGAGTTGTATAGCAAAAATGAAAAGGTTAGCAAACAAACAAAAGAACATTCAAGCACTTACTTCCCCTCTTTATAAAGGATTCTCTTCACATTCATTCCAATCTTCTTTGCATATTCAGGTCTCAAACATTAATATCCTGGCCTCAGATTAGGAGGAGCTTGAATATCTCCAGAGTCTGAAGCAGTAATGTCTGAGTTATTGTTTAACCCTTGGATATTTATATGCATGTGCTCTATCATTTATAGAACCTGTTATTCATCTAGAGTGTTGCTTTTCAGAAGGTCAGACGTTCAGATTTAACTTGCCAGTCGTAAAGGGGTTTCTGCAGTGTTGCAGGGTAAGGGCTTTTTGTTCATCTTAGGCATCATGTTTTGCACTGTTAAGTTATCACTATAGAGTTCACCTTGAGATCTGTTCCCTCAAATGTGTAATAGTTAACCATTATAAAAGTTGCTACCTTGCAATGCACAGAAGGCTATTCTTGAATGAGCTGATCCAAAGGCAAGTTCAACAGTGGCAGTTAATCGCATTTACTACATGTTAAAGGTATACTTGAATTAATTTTGAGTAATACTGAGCACAGCCCTCAGAGTTCTCAAAATTACATTAAAATGCTTTCTGATGTTGTGCATTAAATTAACTGCAAAATGTGAAAGGGAAGCACTGCAAGAGGTGTGTTCAGCAGAAAGGTTTATTTGAAATAAGCCCAGTTCCAGGCTGTTCTCCAAATGGTGTCGCCCAGTGCTTGAGTGATTGCATCCAAGCGCCTGCCTTCCTGAACTTATGAACTGGAAATTTAACGAGTTCAACAGGACAATTGTCGAGTGTAAAATAATATCCTTGTCTCCAGTTTGGGAACTCGCTGAAACCATCTATTTAGAGGGGCACTGCCGGGCTAAAATAATGCGGCTATTTAAAACGCCGCCCTCGCCGGGGGGGCGGCTCTGGGGGTGCCCCGGGGAGCGCTCGGCTGTGCCCAGCCGGGGAAGGGCACAGGCGGAGCCCGGGGGCTGCAGGGCACCGGCGCTGCTGGGGAGGCTCAGGGCCGAGTTGGTCACCGTTCGGGCACCCCTGAGCGGCGGCACGACGATGAACCTACCCCCATTTTAACCCGGGTGGCGGAGAGAGGGAGGGAGGAATGCCAGCCCAGCACGGAGGTGCCTCAGGTGCGAGGGACACGCGCCCCGCCCCGCCCCGGCCCCCGTGCCGCGCGCGCGCGCGCCCGCCCCGCCGCGGCTCGCGCAGATGCGCGCGCCTTCCCCGCCCCCGCGCGGGAGCGCGCCTTCCCCGCGGCGCGGCGGGGGCGGGGGCGCCGGGGAGGGGATAGCGCGGGAGCGCGCCCGCCGCGGCTCTTCTCGCCGGGCTGCCGAGCGGGCAGCAGCAGCAGCAGCAGCAGCAGAAGGAGAGGAGGAGGAACAGCAAGAAGAAGAGCGCGGGTATCCTCTTGACCCTCTTCTCCCCGGGCGGAGGGGCCGCACCTTCCCGTGAGTACTGGCCTGGCAGTCCCCGTCGCCGCGCCGCGCATCACGCTGCGGGAGGTGCCGCGCCCGCCGCCGCGCCGGTATCACATCCCCCCGCGCCGCTGCTGTCATCCATCCCTCCGCACCGCAGGTGTCGTTCCCGCGCACCGCCCGTGTCACATCCCCCCGTACCGCCGGTATCAGCCCTTGCACCGCCGCCAGCCCCCGCACCGCCGGTGTCGCAGCCCTCCGCAGCGCCCCGACGCCGAGGAGCCGCCCGTCCGCCGCGGGTGCCGCGGCTCCTCCGAGGGGCCGGGCGAGGAGGCACCTGGTGAGCCCGCCCGGTGCCGCGGGGCCGCTGCGGGGCTTTGTTGCTGCGGCGGCCGGTGGCACCTCCCGGGCGGGGGGGTCGGTCCCGGGCGGGGACGCTCCGCGGCTGCGACGCGCCCACATCCCCGGGCGGGCTCGGTCGCCATTTCGTGCGCTGCCCGGCGGGGGCGAGGGCCGGGCGTGTGCGGGGAAGGAGCTGTCGGTGCTGAAGTGCCGCGCTCCGCGTTTCGGCTCTTGCGCCTTTATTTATCATCCCCCCTCTTTTTTTCCCCCGTTACAAATGCGATGTTATTTAGATATAAAATAGCTACAATGTGTATGGATGCCGAGCTTTTCCTGCTTTCTCTTTTTTTGATTCTTGATTACAATTAATGCAGAATATCACCGCCAAGTCTGGGCAGAGAGTGCACTTGCCTGTTAGGCTGTAAACTAATAATTGACTAAACTGTCAACCGCCGTTGAACTCTTTAGCATAGATGTGTTAGTTTTGAAGTCTGAAATGTGTTTAAACCAAGACTTCGGAATCTAAGTGTAAACAGCACCTGATTAATAAATCCGAGCTGTTTAAATATTTGAGATCATAGTGTGCTTCAGCCCAGTCAATAAGGCTGTTCCGTATTGACAGGTACTCTGTGAGAGGAATGCTATTGCTTACCTCTTTATGTAGTGTAGTAGTTTGAACTACGACATGTAGTTGGATGAAAACAATGGAAAATGTGATATTTAACTCTATAATGGAGCCTATAGATCATGACAAGATGTTCTTTTATCTGTAAAGCTCCAGCTTTTTGGTGTTTATTAAAACCAACCTCCTACTGACTCAAGAAGGCAGTATTAACTACCTGGGTTTCTTTTTTCTAATGTTCCCTATCTTTGTGCATTTCTTTCTCTGTGTCTATCATTTTGATTCTTGGGTATATTGGGGGAAAGGTAGATGAAACCTGAAGACTTCATTGTATGTAACAGATGCACTTTTAATAATTTTAACATCTTCCATAATTTAACGTAGTAGATGTGATAATTTATAGATAGTAGTTATGTGGGTCTGTGCATAAAACAGATCACTGTACAACATCAGAAGGCATCTAGACTATTTTGAGTTTGAGAGTAGCTTATATGCCAAGAGGGGGATCTTGCTGGTGTTCTTTGGCAAACGGTATCAGCTGGAAAGAGAAAGATAGTATAGTCTTACATACTTGCTCAAAGGATTTAGAAATCAGAAAACTGGCTTGCAGGTGCAGCATCTTTCTAATATTTGTCTAACCTGTTTGATGTTATCACTCCTATGAATACCCCTCAGTCATTTGTTTAGTTTTGAATAGAAGTTGCAATGCAAGTGACCAGAGTAGCTGAAGAGTTTGATGCCGAAGTCTGTGAAAGTTACTTATTTGAATTTCAAAGTAGCGTGAAATTCTCTTGGGTGTCTAAAATTAGCTACCAGAATATATCAATAGATATATTCTAGGTAGATCAACAGAACTGTGAAAGTGTTATATTCTGAGAATATTGAATGTAAAGAAGCAAACCCAGAAAGCTGCTTGCTGTTGACAGAACTCGGGATCCATTGAATGAATTTGCATTTGGGGTTGTGCAAAGGGAATCTGTACAGCTGTGTGACCACATCGGGTGGTGGGTTGGCATATACCAGCTGGTGTTAAGGATGGAGCTAAAACCCTCTTCACAACTCACAGATAAATCCACAACTAATCATACTTGTATTAATATCTTAGTTCTGTCATTACTGTTACTGGCTACAGTAAATATACTCAAAAATAATAATGTTGAAGGTGAATGAGATCTCCAGAACCTGAACCCTAGTTACCGTTCCTTATCTTCTTGCAGAAAGTGTATTATTTATCACATATACCACAGCTTGTTTGATAAAAAGGACTGTAGTAAGAAAATTTGGCTATTTTAAGTAGTCTTTATTTTCAGAAAATGGAATAACAAATCCGGTGATACATACTGATACCTCCTGCTAGCTTGTTGCACTTTGGTGTTTCTCTCTGGTGACAGCAGAAGCTTTAGTAACCAAGTCAGAGTTTCTTGGGGTCTCTCTAATTGTCAAATTTTATTGGTTTGAGGATTCTTATTTCAAGTTAAGAAAAGGTAATGCACGTCTGCCCATTTGTCCTGCTTTAGGGAAATGACTCTCCATGGTATCTGGACATAAAAGATACTAAATACACTAAGGGTTTGGTATTTTGTTAATAGATTACTGCATAGCTCAAATAGCTCAGTCAGCCTAAAAATTAAATCTGTTTTGCCTGCAGCTGTGGAATTGCTATTAATCTGTAGTTTTGTTAATTTGTCTCAAATCACCTTGAATTGTAATTACTTAACTTCCATTACATTGAAATAATACAGTAAAGCTCTGTTGTACGATTTTCACCAGACTTGTTCATTTTGTCCTGTTTTATGAACAGAGTTGCTAAAATGGGAAGCCCTACAGAGGAAAATATATGTTGGTAATGTAAGATGAGGGAATGATGTAGGAGTTGTGTGTTGGGCAATATGCAATGAATTTGGTTTTGCCTTCCTGAGTGGGCTGCTAGTATTCAAAAAATTTAGTTATACTTTCTCCACAGTGAGAATTTGTTGCATTTTAAGCTGGTAAGTAAGTGTATTGCCTATTCAGTTCAGTATTAAAGATACTGTAAATTCTGCAGTTATGAAAACTGTCTAAATATAATATTAAGGGAATTTGTAAAGAGTTAATCTCCAGTAATAAGATTAACATGATGCACCATAAGTTTTGTCCCACAGTTTGTTAACCAGGAAAGGATAGTTGCAAGCTAGCTATATTGCTTTCTTCTGAGCTACTGGAGGCTGGCTGAGCTTTCAGTTATTTACCTCAATAGAAAACTGAAAGGGAAAAAGTGAACAAAGGAGGTCTGTTTTGCCTGTCCCACTTGCTGGGCTGTTGTCTTTGCCCTTTTCAGTGAAGGAGGGGGTAGAGCTGGGTCAAAGTTGAAGAACACTGAAAAGGAATTCAAGTCTTATATTGAAATGTGAATGATAGCTTAGTTTGAGTGCCGAACACATTTGTTTGAATTGATTTTTTTCTGTCTGTGAAAGCTTTAACTGACAGATGGTGATGGACTGGCACATAGACTGCTAGAAGGTACAGCTAGATATGTGCTCAGACCCTGATTAAGATGCTCAGTAAACAAGTACATATCTGATGAGACTTTTAATACTGGAGATACTGATGCTAGACACTGTGTGACACACTAGACATTTGATTGTGTGAATTAAGGGCAGACCCCTGCAGCTGGCATACATTCAGACTTACTTGTCTAGCCTAATTGCATTGCAAATACTGCTCTGGATTGCTCTTTAGCTTCTCCTGTCTAGTAAATGTTGAATAAGTACAGAAATGTTCATCTGGATCCTCTATTAACTGTTGTTAAGAAGCTTTCAATTTTTTTTTGGTTTGCTGTATGAATTGAGATAAATGTATCTTAGTATTCATTTTGTGAATACAGTGTTTTCCTACACTGTTTTGGTTTTGAAATGGCTCAATTCATAATGTGATTACAGCTTTCTCCTTGTTAACTTTTTAGTATGGAAGCATAACAGCTTGAATTATAAAATGTTTCTGTAAGAGCTCACAGTACCCCCATTCTACTTTAAGCAACTAAACTTTATATAAAAAGCAGCATTTGATGCAGAGCATCTCAGATGCACAAAAATAGCCAAGAGAGGAAAAAAAGGCCAGTTCAACTTATGAGGACGTGATAACTTTAAAAAACAGCCTCATTAGAAAGGAACTAGCTGTCTAAATGATCAGTTAAATCAGACAGAATCAGTACAGATGTAGTCTCTCTAAATTCTGTAAATACTCATGTAAGACTGCTGAATTTGGATGCATCCCAATGGGAATTGAGTTGTCCTAATAGTTTGTCTGCACCATTAGGTATACATGACCTTTTGATTTCCTCTGGTTTAAACTATGTAATTGTTACTGTTCAACAGCTTGTCTGAGGAAAACATAACTTCCTGGTTGTGTGAGTTAGTCTTTGGCCACTAATAAGGTTTTTCTGGACGGCCAACCAAATATTAACATACCATTTTCCTTTCGACTGTTACCTGAGTGAGGAGCTGACAGTGTTTATACACAGTGTTTATACATGAGTACAGATTGTCTTTGTCTTTCTGATCTGTGCCTCTCACTTCTAACTTTCCTGTTTCTGTGTTTTCAGTGCTGTTTATTTGTCCAACATGATTTGGAGGGTTCATGTAAAGGAGTTGCCTTTACAATGTCACAACACTGTAGGGCTCTGTGTGTGTCTGTGCATGTGCAAAGGAGGTGTATGTAATCAATTAATGCAAAACCCAGCTTTTGTACCAAATTTGGAGTCAGGGAACAGTTCTGCTGGTGGAGAATAATACTATGGAGTTAACCAACCAGCACATAGGTGCTGGCTAAGTGGGGAAGTCTTCCCCACTGAATATTATAGCATGGGCAGAATAGTAGAAATGAACAAAATTCAGAAGAAGAGGGGAAAAAAAAACCTTGAGAAGGACCACTTTTCAGAGTATTTAAGAGTTCAGTGTTGTTCATCAGTAGTCTTGTACACCACAAGTTACACTTTGTAACAGGATAGATGATTCTCTTCATGATTTCTCCAGTGTTTAGAAGGACTAAAAAGTGGGGTTTCTGACTCTGCTGCTGTTCATATCTCTAGCGG